TAGGGCTACCCGAGAGGTGTCAGACCTCACCAAGTTCCTCTGCAGAGGTTGACATTTTAAAGTGAATCCAATACACCAAGCGTATATGATGTACAGTGTATGAAACATTAATCCAAAACAAGCACATAATGTTAGCCATTTAAGTTCTTGTTGTATGTAGCTTGTGGGGCTCAAAATGCATTGGTCTGTTTGACTCTACTAATGTTTAGCTGTGTTGAGATTTGTGTAAATGTTATATTGGAATGTCTTTCTGTCAAGTGCGAACACAGTATTGCATTTGCTTTATGTATAATGTATGAAGGCCATAAGATTAAAAGATATTTAACAAAATACATTTCAAAGAAGAATAATGCCAAGTATGTGAAAGAGTAACATCAATAGCTTGGGCAGTACATGAGTGAGTGGGAAATGTAAAGATTAAAACCTAAACAAAAGGTTTTGAAGACCTTTTAAACACTCAGCCAGCAGGCGTTCCTCTAGTACCAATCTCTTTGAAGCTGCTTTTATCTCTGGCAGAGCAAACAAGAGAGTTATGGCTCACTTGGTGGCAAACAGTTAAGTAATTACAATTACACACTACTCACACAGTAGACACAGAGCAACATTAGGATTCTTTTTGAATACCAGCTTCACCAATCACAACCAGCTTCATACACATACACAATAGAATTGCTGTTATATGCTATAGGTAAAACAAAGGAAAGAACAGCCTCCATTTGTTGTCATGTTAGGTCTCTTGAAATTAGGTTGCTACTTGCCAATAGAAAAAGTTGATTGGACTCACATGCAATATGGTACAAGAAATCACACAACAGTCCATCAGCACACACACACTTTCATAATGCTAGCAGTTTCAATAATTATTATTCCAATTTATCTAAATTTTTTGCTGTGCGTTATTATCATCTATTATATATCTAAAAAGGGATGCTTTTCACATGTCCTTATGAAGTTTCTAGTCTGGAGAGGTCTACTGTTCAGAAAATACTGTGAGATCTCAGCATTGGTTGCATCTATGGCAATGACTGACATCTCATAGCCTGTTCCATCTCCTCACAGACAAGCATCGGTGCAGACCTGCTGTGATAATGGTATGGACCTCTGACACATTATAGTTCCTATGACTGATCCCTACTTATCTGGGATGCTGATATCAACATTCCAGAAAAGCCATTTTACAAACACTGCATTGGTTTTCTTTTAGTGCAGCCCTTTAGTGTTTGTCTCACTCAAGCAGATGGCTCCAATGTAAAGGGTGAACTATAGATTTTTACATTTTCCTCATGTGATGTTTCACGACATTTTTAAAAATTGACAGGTTCTGTTTACAACAAGCATAAAGGACATTTTCCCCATATGGAGGTAAAACAATAATTTGATAAAATCATACCCTGGAGAATTGTAGTGCAAAAAAAAACCAATTATTTTTTCACACCAGTAAATGTTGCTCCAAAAGATACAGAGATGGGAATTTAAACCTGTCAATACAGCAGGCACCCTGGCAGATTTAACATTTAACATTTTATTTGAAAAGGCCTGTTTTCTGTAAATGCCAGGGCCATATCAGTATTCAGACTTCTGCTTTGAGGTGAAATTGCCCCTATTATGAGTAGGTGACCCAGTGCTGTAGGTTACCGTGGTTACATCAAAGCAGTCATTATTTACAAAACCACATTACAAAACCCCCTACATCCTACTGGAACACATCCGGAGGAGTACTGGGAGTGTGTTTGCCTGGCAGGGAATGCCTCAATAAATAATTGTCACCTGGATGTGACCTGGCAAGACAGGAAAGGTCTCATTCAGACCATATGACCTTGGGGTGGAATGACGTGAAATAGCCAACATGTTATTCTTTGTCAAAGAACAACACAAGGTTCTCTTGCATTTCTATTTAATTTTAAGTTTTTGTACAATCCTGATAATGCCTGACTACAAAGACAATGACAAGACAGACTAGAAAAAGTGGATATGCATTTCTAATAATGGGTAATATTTAGGTATGATAAAGTGAGAAATTACTGCAATGAGTTTTTAAAATATTACGTTTGTCACCTTTCGAAAATATATTTTAAAAGGTTCTGTAAGTGATCCTCACTGCCACTAGATATCACACGAGTCCACCAGATTCTCACACCAAAATAAATCGGCAAATCGTAGTCTCTGATCGGAAGCCAAGCGGAAATGACACTAAATAAACAAAAAGCGCAACTGAATAAAGTTAGCCTTTGTACAAATAGAGCCAACAAAAAACAATCCAGCTAAAAAAAAACAAACAATCCAGCTACAACTATTAACCCATGCTAACTTAGCAACATTTGCGAACACATTCACAGTAGGCTATGGGTAACAGCAAGTTAGCTGACATTATCATGCTACTGTTTTAAGTCAATAATGAAAACAGACATGTAACATTATGTAGACATCAAGTTACTTACACACTGAAGAGAAGAGAAGCCAGTTCCAAGTCCAACTGGAGCCCTTTAGCCTGCTTGTAGGCCTCTCCATCTTAAGCCAGACCAGTGTTAGCTCCATGCAGGGTAGGAATTGCACGGCCATATTACCTCGAAAAAAATTGTTCGCCCTACGACCACCAAGGCCGTTGTGCCCACGCTGTCGAAATCTTGGGGTTGCCTTGAAAGCGTCACTGCAGCAGTGCTTGCAGCGTGGATTGGTTGTGCGCACAAAATAACTTCTAACTAACTAGTTAACTCTCGTCCTCTACGCACTCAACCTACATACTGAACTATGCCTGAAAGAACCAGCTCTACTCCTGTAACAGTATTCTATCTCAAACTCATCAAAGTTACTGCGGGTTTTATACAAAGATGATAAATCATTGTAATTTGCACCTTTACTTTCTACTGTTAGGTCTGCGTGCTGTAATACTGCAATATTATAACTGATCTGAACAGTAGAACCTGAGTCGAAGTGATACGTCCCTCTGAAATGAAATATATTTATATAGGCTATTTATATTATCTGGTAAATTGACACATGATAACATGATGCATCTCTTATATATGATAACTGACTGCATCGGAAAATGTATTTTATTTATGTTAAAAAGTGAATAATTTGTGATTACCACGTCATTTGTGTTATTTAATTTTTTTTGTTATTAGAAAGTCAAGTTATTTATGAAGGCCAAAAGGCCTTGCCCCTCAAATGACGAAATCCCTGGCCTGGCCCCACACTTAGACTGGAAAAGGAATTCAGCCTTGTACTTGTCTGCTGGGATGAGCAAAAATTGCAGACACAGTCAGTAAAAACCCTATGGATGTGTTGACGGACTACTGGCCAACCAGGATTTGAGCCCATAGTCCCCATGTCCAGTCTGCCCGTGGTGTGGTTTTATATTTCTTTGTCGGAGGCCTTTTTAGATGAAAATGTGATTTCATCAATGGGGGAAATTCTGGAGGGTCACTCTACTGGAACGCCCTGTGTGTGCATAGGGCCAACTGTTTAACAGGAGGGACTCGTGCATATGTATATATACTAACATGCATGAGTTGCCAGACCAGATACCAACACAAAGAACAGATAAACTGAGATTACAACAAATAAAAACAGGGTGTGACCTCATTCTCTGCTCAGTACACCATTACTCCACTATATCTTTACAAGAAAATAGTTGTTTGCTGCTATCTTATTATTTAAAATCTAATTTACAAAACCTTTAAGAAACTGACATCAGTTTCATCTAAATAGTTAAAGTTGTTGTAGATCTTAGAATGTAGGAATTAGTTTAAATCTATAGTGAATTAGCTAGGCTTCAATTTTAAATTTGACTCCATTTGCCATCCACCAATCCACTAGTACTGAATGAAACTGAATGAATACTGAATGTTCTCACTTTTAACAGTTTAACCTACTAACCAGTCTTGAATTGTAAATCAAATCATGTAGGTAATAAAGATTTGTAAGTGATAGCAGTAGGTCCCATTGAAATAGATGCATTTATGCACATACTTCACATTTATTTAAAATGTATTTTATAAGATATGTACATTTTTACTTATAAGAGTCATTTAGAAACACAAAAATAGTGCAAAATAGTTTGAAAATCCTTTACAGCACTGAGCAGAAGTGGATTTGGTGTCAGACTGTAATGACAGCATCACATTAGTTTAACTTGTGCATTAGAGGGAGAAATGTGGATGGACCACTGGCCTCCTGACACACATTAGCAGGAGGCATTACACTGTGTAGAGAATACAAGCAAACAGATATTTTGTGGAAGACAAAGAGAAAACTAAAAGAAAAAGGTTTATTTGTACAAAGTGAATACAAATTAAAAAAAAAAAAACATCAGAAGCTGAATTCAAAATTTTATCCACACCTTGTTCCATCATAGTTTCATATCTTCTGAATATTAATGATCATTTCAAATGGTCACAAATCTGCCTTTTTAGCAAACACAACAGGTCTTAACATGGAAACAGGTTGTAGGACGAAGTCGTACCCAGACACATAACGACGCATAGTGTGGAGTATGAGGTTCACCAGTAAACCGTGTTGGGACATAATGTTGCACTCTCACTAGAATCAGTTCACTGTCTGAGAAGAGATATTCTCACACTTATATTCTGAGTCTAAATGTCTGCCCACAAGGTTTTAATTCTTCCTCCAATTATAATCTGACTTCACTCTATGTTAACACATTCATTTCAATTTGATCCATATCCCTGTACTGCAGTGTTTTTCATTACAGATTGCTCTAAATAATAACTGTTTCACTGTTAACCACAACAATTTACCCATATCTTTTGTCTCTTATATTCAACATTTGCCTGAGACCAGCTTTTAAATCCAGTCTGCTTTGCACTCAGACTTCTTTCGGCAGTTCTCGCAGCCCGATACACGTGAAAATGGAAAACGTAAAGCATAAAAAATATGCTTGAGTCGCTTCCAGATGGACAACCAAACCGAAAAACACTGCAAGAAATGTGACTGCCATAGACATCCTGTTAAACTTACAGCTGAAATTGTTTAAAAAAAAAAAAAAAAACAGACCAACAAAAAACTAATTAACACTTTGTGCACCAACTGCAGCTAACCAGCTCCCTTTTGGTTTCAAAAATACTTCAGACAGAATACTTCAAGTGTGATCACTTAGGCAACACTGTCAAAGCATGTTCTTTGTCCTTACAATGCAGGGGCATGAAGCTGACTGTCAATACTTGTTGAGCAGCATCTTGTTTCCTCTCGATACGTTGTATCCTTAAACACTTCCTCTGATAACACCACTGACAGTGTGAAACAGCAGAAGTATATATTCAGGAAATAGTGTATAGGTGTAAATGTATGTGTGTATTCAGAAGTACATGTCCTGGAAGAGGTTTTGTCCCATTTCAATGTAGGCCTCTTTTTCCTGCGCAGACATCTGCTCCACCAGCTCTGGCCTCTGGCTCACCTCTCGGTATGAGAATGGCCGACCTCCCACCATCACCACTGGCTCATCCCCCACCTCCTCAAACTCATCATCGTCCTCTTCCTCTTCCTCGTCAGCCCGATGCTGAGCAGCTGCGGCAGGGGGAGGACCTAAGGGAAAGTCGTCATCCGATTCGCTAGTGTCGCTCTCTGAGTCGCTGGCATTAGCTGTGGCCGAGGCGAGTCCCCTGGCAGCAGCACTTGCTCCGCCTCCGCCTGCTCCTGCCGCACCCCTCTTCTCATGGATGAGCAGAGCGCGCATCACCTCCTCATTTTCATCAGCCTGACCAACTCCTTGACCAGCTGCTCCATCCTGGACCTCGGGTAAAATGTCTCCACCTGAGGAAACAACAATTAGTACAAACATATTCACTTCAGTCTTAATCTCATAACTTCCTCTGCTTCTTCTGCTTTTGAATATTTGGAACATTTTGATGTGGTCTGACAACTTCATCAACCATCACTCTGTAGCTGGCCTGTACTCAGCCAAAGATCGTTTGAGAGGGCAGAACTTCCTCTCTGCATGTTTCAGTAGTTCCAACAACTCTAACAGAGGGATACATCCCTCTAGCTGATTGTGTCATGTCATTTCAGGAGTCACATCCTCCGAATAATTTAATCAATCAATATCCATAATTTAAGATTAGCAGTTTAATAAAAATTTCAGCTTGTGAAAAATTAGGTGTGCCAAATTTAGTAGTCTACAGCTGTTATTTCAGTGCGAGAGAAACATTTAATCAATATTTTGGTAAATAGAAGTATTAGATCAGACTCCATGTGAGCAGATTCACAGTGCTGAAGGACTCAGACTGAAATCGGGGACAAAAATCGTGACTGGGACATCCCTACTTATTGTAAGTAGTTGTATTTAACACACTTCACCCTCGGATGTCATGTCTGTTCCAGGCTTCAAAGGGCAACAGCACCATTACAGACAGATGCACAGAGACACACCTCTAACACAAGCCATTTGGAAGGCATAATTCATGCAATTTCCACAAGAATTATTAATGAGCAATCCTTGCTCAGCCGTGCACTAATCAAGTCTGATTATTTCAATTAAGCAATTATGGTTCAATGGGAGTCTGGCCAGGCCTGATTGCTGCATGCCCTTGGGTGCAGAAACAATGTCAGCATAAGATAGCTTGGTGAAAGACCACTCTGACAGTAGGAGATAACCTGGGTTGACCTGTAATAGCCATTTTCAACTACAAAGAGAGCAGAGATTGAAATTAAAGGTCAGAGAAGAACAGCCACAGGTGTGGGCCTGGATTGGACTTGTCACGGTCCATCCCTACCATCATCTCACTATTTTCTGAAAAACCCTGCATGTTCAGCAAGCCATGCCATGGACAGGCAATAACATTTACGTTTAATGACAGTGAAAACAGCAGCCAAGAGTGGGAGGGAATTTAATGTTGAATTTAATGTCTTCTAATGTACGGAGTAGGAAATCTTGAGATTGTGGCAGAGAATTTGCATCAAATTACATAATTACACCAAAGTGGGTGTAATGCTTTGAGTTCAGCATTAATCCAGAGTTTCTTTAAGGACAAATCATTATTTATGAATGAAGGACATTTTAATTTTTGTGAGATGTGTATATTATATATATATATAGAGTCAATCTATATATAGAGTCAAAATGAATTCTGGAAGCTGATTTTCTCCAACTCACAAAATGACGGCATATGATACAAAATGTATTCCATCAGAATAATGTGAAAAGTACAAAAATTCTACACATAGTGGCAAAGTAGTGCAAGGAGAACTTACGGTTCTTGAGGATGTCAGGCTCGCTGTAAGCACCCTGCACAGTGCTCTGGGTCAACCAGACAGGTCTCTCCTTAGGTGCCTTGCCCTCATTGGCCTGCTTCTGTTGGTCCTCCTGCTCCTCCATGCTGATAACCACATTCTGGGTGTACAGGTCAGCGTAGGATGAGCCTTTATTAGACCAGGCCTCACGGTGTGGGCCGATTGCAGAGTTTGCTCCAGATGCTGCAGCACGTTCACGGCTAGAGGAAACATTGAGCAAATATCCTTTACACAATGATCTTAAACAGTAAAATTAAACATGAATAATTGTGAGAATGTAATGTTAAAGCTGCTACTGTGGATGAATAGAATAGAACTCCATTGTGGCGCAGTTTTAAAGTTGAGCCAGTATCACTGCAGCAAGTATTGCTGTTACCAGAGGTGAACTCCCATGTATCAGTGAAAGTGGTTCAGCACGTGACTTAGGAGGATCCATGTGATGCTGACTGAGGGGAATAAATCAGAGCATTTCTGAGACCTATCCAGAACTGACCTCTGTTTGAGAGCAGGGATCTCAGCAGGCTCGGGTTCAAGCAGGTCATGGGACAAGTTGACATCTTCGGTCTCACGTAGCAGCGCATAGATGGGTTCAATCTGCTCATTGAAGCGCGCCACCAGCGTCCTGGCATCAGGACAGACAGACTCGTCCTCTTCTACCTCCGTCTGGCAGAAGGTGCAGCGAAATGTACCTGTGGGTGAAGAAAGAACTTTGTTTAAAATGAGTGAGAAGGGTTGTTCGGGTAAGCCACCAGATACCATCTACGTCCTGCACCAGGTTGGGTATCCAAGGGGGAAATTTGCGTGTAACAAATATATTTACAATAATTCATGGCTATAAACATGAGTAAAAATTAACTAGGTTGGCAGTGGGCAAAACAAACATGAGAATGAAAAAAACCAACAAACAGAAATTATAATAAAGGCATCTTAACATCTTAACCAGAATCATTTAATCCAGCCTGATTAGCTACAACCTCCATCCATTAGCTATACTGCTATACTGAGCACAATGGAGGCACTGCCTTTAAATCCAGGTTATAAGACAACTTTTCAAAAACCACTTACATAAATGAGTAGCTAGGACTGCGGTGTTACTCGTCAAATATGCATGCTTGGTTTATTGAAGGTCTTAACTGACAGTCATGAATGCTACTTCACTGTGTATGGGCCCAAATTCATTTTGAGATAAGTATTGCATGCAGTGTGAAACTGCTGGCCATTATGGAGGTAAAAATGTGTGCCATTATAAACCACTATTCTAACTGCTGTGCCTTTTTGGGTGGTTTGTGTACTCAGTTCCACACTCCATTCATAATCCATCTGAGACGTTTTCTTGTAACCATAAATTATTGCAGGAACACGTTAAAATTGTATAATTGTAAAGACGTCAAATCCCTCAACATATATAAACAATACCACTTGGTCATGTTATTTCGACTCCCACCCAACACTTCTGACACAAAACATACTGTTTGCACTCAAAAGTGGCCTGCAGGTCCACTATGAGTCTATAACAAGAATGTGGATCAACTTTGTTGAAACTAACTATATTTGAAGTAAAGTCTTTTGTCAATAAGAATTTGAAGAACTGTTTATGCTGGAATAGTACTCTGTTAACTTTTGATTTCATTTTGTCACAAAACTAAATGAGTGATTATTTAGGCTACTGTATGTGTGGACCACAACTTAATAATAACTAAGGAGATATACAGACCCTAGGGCAAGACTAGTTGTTGTGGGAATGACACAGCAGGCCATCTTCTCAAAGGTAACCAGAAGTTATAGTTTATTCCATTGTGATGATCTTTTGAGGATAATTTCATAAACATAGCATCATATTATATTTGCGAGTGCTTTGAGACCTTGTCTGCACTAGACGCACACAAACACACATGCACACCTTGCTTCCTACGAGTAAGAGGAGGGCATGTTTGGCCATCTGCTTCTCTGGCTGATTTCAGTTTCAGTAATGGGAGCTGTTCCAGCATTAGCACAGACCCCATGTCTGCCTTGTATCCATGTGTGTGACAGAGAGAGAGAGAGAAAAAAACAAAGTGTGTGTGTGTGTGTGTCTGTGTGAGACAGAAAGAGAAAGAAAACAGTCCATGGTACCACAGTACCGTGCTGATATGAGGAAAGACAGTCACAGAATGATAGAATAAAACACTACACCTGTGCCATATTAGGACACTTTCTGCATTTATAAATACAGCAACTAGTCTCCTGTTGGGTAATGAGACAGGCCCAATGTTTCCACTGGTGCTCTAAACCACAATGAAGTTGGGTTCCACCTTAAACATGCTAATAATTATATTCCTACAAGTCTAAGACAAACCTTAGACAGCACCAACTGATCAAAGAAGAATTGGTAAAAGAAAGTACCATTTTATGCTAAACTAAAAAAAACAGTTCTTTTTCCACAAAAAGCCAGGTGGACAACATGTCAGGTGGAATGAGTACAGAAACGCGTGTCTTACAACATTCATGTGGCACATTGTGAAAATTCAGATCTGCAGGGTGTTCAGCTCTCCTTTGTGGGTCAGACTGAGCTGGAAGACCAGTAATGTCATTTCCCATCCCAGTGAGGCCACACTGAGTGTTGCTGGCCCTGCAGAAGCAACTAGTCCATCAGACCACCACTGTGTGAGCTCCAGGTACTCATTTTGTCAGCCTCTGTCAGGGTGCGAGCTTACTGCCTTCACAGCAACATTTGATACTAGTGGAGATATGTCGAAACAAGAGACAAGTGCAAAGGAATTGGCAGGATGATTGTTAATGTATCACCAGCAAGATGCTGATTAGTGCAAAACAGTACCAGGAAGCTGGGAATGTGGATTCTTCGCAGCATGAAACTTATACCGGCTCTCAAATGTATTTCTTCAATGTGGAATTATTGTGCATTTTATTTCCTGAAGTAGTTACATGCAGCATTTTGGACTACAAGTCTTTACGACTCATCCATGACTAAGTAGATACACCCACATTCTTATATTTTTATTCCAAAATAACCAGTAAGACTTAAGCATGTTGTCAGATGATCTGGGAAGTCCATTCTATTCTTCTACTTTACAGTATATAAGCATTTGTAGGCAATGTGTAGCTTTCATCTACAGCTTAAAACTTGCTCTAGTTTGATTTTTTCTTTCTTACTTACACTTCAACTTATTACATTGACTGAAAAAGTCATTAAGGCTGTAACACACTGGCTGCAGTATAATAGGTTACCACAAATATTGATTTCAGTGCATTATAAAAAGGTTTCCATAAACATGTTTCTTTGCCCGACAGGCTGAGCTGGAGTTGAGAAATAAGAAAACAGTTATTTCAATTTCAAATGATGATGAAGAAAAAAATAATTCAGATGGTTAGAAAAATGTGTGGTAGGCCCAACTGCAAAACACTTTACGTAAATAAATTACAAGAATTCCAATCTAAAGTCAATATGGGATTTGTATTCATTAAGATGGTAGCAAAGCACAACCCCAATTTTCAGATTCCCATCCAAATCAAACCAACTATTTCCAACAGTTAGTCACCCAGTGAAAACAGAGATTTAAATTTAAATCATGAACATTAAGATCTTCTTTTAAACATTTGTGTAACACAGCCTATCAGTGTATCCTAGCAACAGTACAGGTTGATTAGTGATCAACCTTAGGACTGGCAGACGTTCTAAGCCTGGTGCCTCATTCTGACAGACTCAAGAATGAATGCAGTTTATGAATGAACAGTTTAGAAGACGGGCTCTCTCTCGTTTCAAACATACACAATCATCATCATCACAAGCACAAGATTCTTCTGGAGCATTATCATTCCACTCAAATGCACATTTTCATGCATTGTTAGCAAACTACATACAACATATCTCGGTGATGTACTTCACTGAGATGAAAAGCACCACCATACCTACAAATCCTGGGTGTATGACTTGCAGAAAAATAAATACAATGATAAGCCATAGTCTTAGAGCCTCTCACATACAATGATCAGTATCAGTAAACATTTGTTGTATGTTTATGTCTTTGTTTTAAATATCTGATACATTATTTGGTCTGCTAGCAGTCTTTACAAGGAATTTTGCACAATCAGGAAATCTGTTATTTCAAATAAGAGGAAAGCTGTTAGGAGGGTTACATTTTCTTCACACTTTGCTAAATGCATTTAGTGCTGTCTGAGTGTAGGTTACCATTTGCAACTTGTATTTCTCAGGCCTTGAAAATTAATCTGGGTGAGCTTTTCTATGACGACATGATTACCACATGCATCTTCCTACTAAAGTTTTATTTGGTTAAACAGTAGTCTTGCAGATTTTAGCAGCAATTGTGAAAGTTCTGGTGACTCAAGTGAGGTGGTCATTCCTTGGTTTTGTCAATCAACTAATGATTTTATAAATGCAAGTGGGAGTCTAAGTCTACCCTTCTGCCATGGTTATATTTAGCTTCATCCTCCTTTTAAATTCTGCATATCCTCACCCACGCTCTGCCTAAGATGATTAAGACTTTCTGGTTGCTTCTGTTACTCACCTGTCAAACACAAGCACTAACACAACATAATGGATAACTCCTAGTGATAAGTGAGCGATGTGATGCCCATTTAGAAGCAAGGTTTTGGACAGCTGCCAGCCCATATTGAGACAGGGTGAGAATCGGAGTGTGACAAGGACAGACAGAGAGAAAAAAGTGTATAAACGCAGAGATGTGGCGGGTGAGAGGAACAAAGAGTGTTTCAGTACTGTAGGTTGAGATGATGGGTAATAGCAGATGAACCTTTTTATCTGTTGATACGGTCAGCCAACCTGTCAGCATCATTGCACGTCTCAGATCTCACTCTGGCCAATCCAATGCCATCATATTTTTACGTATCATTATTATTTTTAACTAAGGCACAAACGGAACCATGCAGCTTGATTAAAATATTTCTTGGCAGGCTGAAAGAGGACCAAAGGCTGTTTGTTCATTTCTGCTGTGATAAGGAAGCCTAATTTACCCAATGGAGAGTAAACATTTTTTCTTGTACTGTAGTGTGAAAGCCATTTAGGAAACCACATATCTCTTATAAACTGCTCCATTCAATTACAAACAATTTCTTCGTTCAAGGTAGTGGCAGAACTGCATTACCAAATTATTATTTAAGAGTACATTTTCAAATCATAGACATTATTCAGGAGAAACGTGTAAAATGTGGTTAGATGTATCAAACTTACATTGAGAAATTTTAGCATCAGGTAGAGGAAAGAGTCTGCCAACAATGCCCACTCACATCAAATTAAATTACTGTTCTAATGCCAGGCCTGTACTACAAAGCAGGATTTGAGGCTATCGAGGTAACTTCAGGTTTAACTCTGGGTTTTCAGTCCTACAACGGTGGTTCACTTGTTACCAGGGTAAATCACCATGGTAACTTACGCTGAACTCCTAACCTGCTCCAGCGCATGTTAACTCAGAGGATCAGATCCAAACCTGTCAACAGCCAAACTACTGACCAATCAAATCATTGGAAAAATGGAGTCATCATTCCTACAGGATCCTGACAGGGACAAAATCATATCATATTAAGCACTTCATTCATGGTTTGGGCGATGTTGCTTATAATTAACAACTTTGCCTCTTTCACATGAATGCGCTTGTAACCGGATAGGTAAACCCAGGGTTAACTGAGCCAGTTGATAACCTGCTGATAACCTCAGAACAGTCAATGTTAGGTTCAGTCAAGCCAGATAACTAAAAGTTATCCGGGGTACGTTTAACTTGCTTCATAGTACAGGCCTATGGAGTTGTTGACCGTCTCAAAACAAACTCAGTCTAGACTAATTAAAACATGCATAATAAGGAGTTAAAGATAGAATGTCACTTCTTATTACTTGTTGTATGGCATTTCAGAATATGTACAATTTAAAGTATTTATGCTTTGATGATTTAAAATGTAAATAACAAAATAAATATATTTATGTTTTCATGGTAAGGTATTGTTTTGTAAGCACATATGTTGAAAACCTATACCAGAAGGTTAATTAGTAATCTTCATTTGTTAGTTTTAAATCATAGTAAATTATAGAAAATGAAAACACCACACACACAGTGCATGAATGTGTAATGCTAATGAGGGATCCTAATCTACACAGGTCACGTCATGGAGCTGGATTAACAGACATTTCAAGTGAATTTTCCTTACACTATACTTATAACTTACACCCAACACTAAACTAAACTCAACTTTGACATGACAGAATGTTAATTTGCAGAACATGTATGCCTGCTAGTTTACACTGGACCACTTACACATCATTAGCCCCAATTAGGGTTTCAATTTGCATCTTTTCTCAGCTAATGGCAAACAGAGATGTTTTTCATTTCTACAAACAACGTTCATAAAGCAGGCTGGAGAACTGTGATTACATTGGCATCACCAAGTAATGGCCATCACACAATCACAGATTAAGACAAAACTAAACAATGTAGACACACAAATAATTTAGACTTTTGTTTAAAGCTGAAATAAAAGAAAATGCAAGTAAGAGACAAGGCAACTTTAGAAAATTTGTTCATATAAAATCAACCGGAGAAACCACAAAAAGTATGTAGGTCGACTGTTTTTGAAATTATTACATTTTAATGAAGGGCTGGAGGCACAACCATCTTTTTTTAATAAGCGCTGCAATTTAATTTCTATTATGAACTTGATGCATTGAATGAACCTGTTATTAATGAATCTATTTGAGCGCATATTTTCACAGAAGTTAAACTGAGCACTGACTGCCATCTAGAGGTGTACTGCCCCGTACACCATAAAGGGCATGGACTGCTAACAGTTTATATTTTTTATGTTATTGTAAAACAATCTCAGGGCACAGAAAGAGATCCTAGTAACATTTCTGCCTTGGGAAAGACCGGCGCCTTAATGTAGAGGACATACATCTGTTTCTATATATGCATTGCAGATCTGAATTGCTGCACATTACCAAAATTACTCATATAGAATAAACACTTTTAATAACCTATAAAATAACTTGCTTAAAAACTCAGCAGTGTTTGTGAAGGGCAATCAAGTCTACAGAAAGTTTGTATGGTATGAGTAGACACAAGTTACTTCAAGCCTTTTGCTGTGATAGAAAGTAACTCTAAACACTGTTCATTAAGATTTTCAGTTTTTGGAAAGCCATTTATCTGTGTTCTCGTTTTCATTTTTTTTTTATGTTTTCTCACTTTTTCCTTTTTTAAAAATAAATTTTATTTATTTTTCTGAAAAAGTTTGAGGCAAATAATGGACTCCCTCCTACTTCTTGTTTCAAATTTAATGAGACTTCAGTTTTACATACAGTTTCCATGGAGGAAGAGTTTATTGTGGCTGGTTGTAAGAAGCCACAACCTGCATAAGGCTTCATCACAATAAACATAGAAGGTATTTTGAGCACCTTCTACTTTGAATTTTACTACACCCAGGTATCATATGTTGTAATAATTAACAGGTATTGGGACCACTTTTAAGTGGCTACTGACTCATCTCCAACTCACTGGCAATTAGACTCAGGATTTTACATCCTACAACAGACAACCGCACAACTGGTCATACTTAATTTAGGGGCCTTGTTATATAGAGCATCTTGAAACAAAAAAAAACCGCCAAAACAGAAAATTCTTTGCACACTGCATTTCAACACAAATTTGACACCAGTGTGACACCCAAGCAGCAACCTACAAGGCGTAAAAATTAAGCCAGAAGTACCAAAAACTGCAATTCTTCAAATGGCTCCAAAAGCAAGTCAATTCCCGTAGACTCCCATATTAAAATTCCTAACTTTACAGCAGAAATTAAAAAAAAATTAAGAAACATGTTTACAGCCTGGTACAAAAAACAGTTTTGGTCTCTTTAGTTAATTTCCTCCTTCATAACAACTGTGCAGAGGCTGAATTTTTATATAACTCACCTCTTTACATTTTATTAAGACTTAAAGTTATGGAGAATTGAAGGCGTACCACTTTGAGTGACAGCCGGGTGAGCGTATGCCTGCCACAAGCCGGCATGCACCGAAATACTGGCTCAACAAATGCCCCTCCTCTTCGCCCATTTTTGTATTAGCCGGGCATTCGGCGGAATCCGGTAATGGCAAGACGGTGACGACGGAACAACCCACTCTGAGCTTCCAAACCGCTCTTCAGGAACCTATGGGTGACGTCACGGAGACTATGTCCATCTTTATTTACAATCTATGGTTACACCTTACAAAAGGCAAAACGCACATCTAATCATAATACCATACTGTAAATAGTAAACCAAAATATCCTCAAAACTGCCAGAATACTTTCTCACATTCAAGCATTCTGACAATCATCACTGTGGATGTGCTATAGAACTGTAAATAGTTTGTACTTTTCTTAAAGTTTACCTGTCATAGGGTCAAACAGCTGGTTGGCTTCTAGGTCAGTGAAGGTGGAGAAGCAGCAAGGGCACCGGAAGGAAGCACGGTTGGTCGAGTCTCGCTCATCTGTCTCAATGCGTCGTCGCATGTGATCCAATTTATACTTGACCACATTGACCAGTACCCTATAAAATTAGAGTGACAAAAGCGTTGCTGACGGCAGCATATGGACATGGGAGGATAAACTGTCTTTGATGTGTCTGTGTTTGATAATGATGAGAAAAACAACATTAATGAAGGACTATGATATTTAAAATCAAACACTTTTCTTAATCAAGAGTGCATTTCATCTATTACTTATGAATTTGGGGTGCATTGGTTGAGAAACTTAAATGTAATAAAATAGCTGTTGTTTTTTTTTAGTACGTAAAGAGCTTGTACATTTCTTGGCAGATGAGTATAGCTATTAATTTTCCTCATAGGGGAGATTCAATGCCACCCAGATTTACTACACTAAGCCTTCTAATGTGTTGTGGGTTTAGGTAATCGAAACATTGCTAACATGATGTGCAGATTGACTATGCAAATGCCTGGAAGGTGGATACCTGGTGTTACCCTCTTCTTATTCCCTGGGCTTCAGCTACAATAAAACCACCTGTGAGCAGGAAGTATTTAGGGCACTGTGCTCATTACTAAATGCAAAAATGAGAAATGAACTATAAAACCTGTAGTTGATGAAGTAGTAGTTGTGTCGTGTTGTCTTGCCATCAGGGGCTGTCTCCACCCTCATGCGGCACTTGACAAACTTGTCTGCCTTCAAGGTGTTGAGTACTGAGCGCAGCTGTTTACGGTCAAACTTGAGCAGCTCCAGCATGTCCTCCTCACGTACACATGGATTACGGATCAGCACATCCAGGGCCAAGGCATGCTCCACTCCATAGAAACCCCTTACAACCTGCTTGGCTAGCCGCTTCAGTGCTGCAGGGACCTCGGTCAGTAGCTCTGGTTCTATCATCTTCTGCTGAGGAGAGAAATGAAAACTCTTAAACAGGCTGGCACGTTAGGATAACAATGCTGAGGATGATTGCCTAAGACTTTGGTAAGCATAAATCAATAGGTAAATAACCTTATTCACTAAAAGCTTGGGAGGGACAATGGAAATTAAACATATTTTGAGCAGCATTAACACACTGAGGCAAATCTGAAAGAAGAGAAGATCATTTTTTTCGAATGACGTTCCTTCCTCTTTATCATTAGTTTGCTTAAATGCAATACTACCTCTAAAGTGGCGGACAACTTTTAAATTAATGTCCAGCTGCTTTGTGCTAACATATACGGAGTGGTGGCCAATACCAGCAGATTACACTGACAGCTAAACTGACTGCTAGATACTGGCAATTTAACGTAACTAAACGGTAGCTTAACGTTAGCTAACTCAGACAAAGACAAACAGTGACTAGCGGCAAGCTGGCTGTAATTACAGTTGCGGACACTGTAGTAACGGTTTAACGTTAGTTGAGTTAGCAGTAAGCCACTGTCTAACATTATCCTTACTTCAGCCTGTCGATGTTACCTGACGCTGACTAAACTTGCAGCCAACATTGAGTTAGTTTGCAAAAAACCGTCAGCCATTTAACGCGTATCTTACCGGATTCTTTAAATTCCCCCTATAAGCTAGTGTACAGCCGCCTTTTCCTTAAGTCATTTCAGAGTACACGCTGACTGGGTCTCAACAAATTCAGCTAAAACGCACACATTTGCACATCTCAATCTTTAAGTTGCTATGATAACTAGCATGCTTTCTGCTTTTTAGGAGAAAGTCCCGGAAGGAAAAGCAAAACCGCAGAGAAAGGTTTTCTTGCATTCCAATTGGTTGAGCTGTAGATTTTTACTCAATAGCCAACTGAAACAAAATAATGTTGACTGATATACATTTAAACCAATGGCTTTGCTTTTTGTCAGACCGAATAATTTTTTTGGAACCAATCAGATTAGACATTGAAGGCGGGGTTTACATTGTTTTCTTCCGGGACGCTGCTGTCACCAAAAATGGCTTCTCTTGACAGAGTAAAAGTATTAGTTTTAGGGGACTCCGGTAAGTTAAGTGATATTTTCGTAATTCATACTCTTTATATAAAGATATTTGCTAATTTTATTAAAACATTTCTTTGGTATGGATGAATTTTGCCCGGGTTTCAACCCCTTTAATCTTTAATTGAGGAACCTAAACTGTTATCAGTAGTCTGTTTCAGTGACTCTTGTAAACCTGCATACCTTACGCAACATAACTGTCATGTCTACTGATAAGTTATAGGTGCAATCATTGCACCTGTTATAGTTTGTTAACACCGGTCACTGCTGACTTAAGTTGTGCTTCTTCCCTTAAGAGGACGCCTTAGTATAAGACGAATGAACACCTAAAGTTGAAATTTTCTAGAAACATGTCAGCCGAATTAAAGACTGACACTGAACAGCTCATTTAAGATATTTACGGATGTTCTGCAATATATGTGTTTTGATGGAAACCAAGCATAAGTTACACTGGCATGTTTTTTTCAATGAAGGCTTATTATCATCTTATACAGTGGCAAGAGAAAGTAAGGAACCTTTTGGAATTGTCTTCATTTATGTATAAATTTATCTTCAAATATGGTCAGGTCTTCATCTAAGTTACAATAATGAACAAAAATCAATAATGAGTGTTATTTTAACTATTAACTAATTGTTCTTGTCCTTATCATTCAAATATTCACAGTGTAGTTTGGAAAAAGTATGTGACTCCTCAGCAAATGACATTGACAAAAGCTAAGTGTGGTCAAGAGATATCAAACCTGGAGTCCAATCAATTAAGCCAGATTGGAGTTGATCAAGACTTTGAATTGCATAAAGCTGTAAGGGTTACATAGTGTTTTCAGTTTAGATATATATATATATATATACAATTACATATATACAAGAATTGTCAATCGTCTACCCATATTTCTTGTTTTTTTCCAGGGGTGGGCAAATCTTCCTTGGTCCATCTTTTATGTCAAAATCAGGTTTTAGGTAATCCATCATGGACTGTTGGTTGCTCTGTGGATGTACGGGTAAGCAGGCTGCACACCTCCTAATTTACAAAATTTAATTGAGATAAAAACTAAATTGATGGTGCTGGCTGCTAAATTAGCTTCAGATAAACTAAATATGCTTTATACAACAATCTTTTAAATAACAATTTCTAAAGTTTGAAAATGTTGGAGCCATACTTAGTTTAAGTAATAAATATAGTAATATCAGACACTTATTACACTGACTTGACAATATATACTTAATGTCATATGATTCAACACATTTATATTAGATAAAAATGAGTAGAGCACTTACATGTTGCAGATCTTTTAGAGGTTAAAATGACTGAGGGATCAAAATAATCATTCAACTACAGGTTCAAGACTATAAGGAGGGAACCCCAGAGGAGAAAACCTACTACATTGAACTCTGGGATGTAGGAGGATCTGTGGGCAGTGCCAGCAGTATCAAAAGCACCAGAGCGGTCTTCTACAACTCAGTTAATGGTAAATAGTAATTTCATATCATTATTTAAACAAATGTGAAATCATAAGGCATGTTATTCAGGTATGTTCTGTCATTTTCTGGATTATTTTAGGAATTATATTGGTACATGATTTGACAAACAAGAAATCCTCTCAGAATCTTTACCGCTGGTCACTAGAAGCTTTGAACAAGGATTCCTCTCCAACAGGAGTCATTGTCTCAAACGGGTAAGTAGATGTTGGTTTTTGGTATTGTTTCTAAGGATGGAAAAATTATACACACTAACACAGTTCAGGGAAATGAATTTGCTGATAAATGACTCAAAATGTTGGTTAATGGGGAGTTCAGTCATGTTTTTTTCTCCCTGCAGTGACTATGATAGAGAGCAGTTTGCTGAGAACCCAGTGCCTTTGCTGCTAATTGGTACCAAGTTCGACCAGATCCCAGAGAACAAACGCAATGAAGTCCTCACCCGAACAGCCTTCCTGTCTGAAGACTTCAATGCAGAGGAGATCAATCTTGTAGGTTAAATTTTTCATTCCTTCAAACTCTCACCTAAGGCCCTTTCAATCTTGGAATCTGTAGTAATGCTGGCTTCATCTGTGTGTTAAAACAGATTTCTGGCATTCAATGGTCTCTGTTACAGAAATGTTCCACAAAACATTGTTCAACTGTAACAAGACCATTAGAAATATAGTTGCAATGCTTGAGTGGTATTTGGCATCTGGTTCACAAAAGAGAGCACAAAGCTCTTTTTCCTTCTCCCCACAGTGGACATCCTGCTGGTCAACCGGTGAAGTCAGTGTTTGAATGATTGCAGTGTCAGATGCATAATCAAATAGTTTTTATTGACTCAGCAATTACTTCTCTGAAATTCTCAAGACCCAACATGGCATTGTCTTAAAAACAGTATATCAATTTGCCTTATAAATACGCTGGAAGAAGCCTTATCTGCTGTACTTTTTAAAGTTTTCCTATTCATACAAGCGTCAAGGATAGAAGACAGATGAAGTTATGTGAATGGTGGTTATTTTTGTGTAAATGTGCTTGTGACACAATGTGGCAGCTCATCTGTGCAGCAAAAAAAGTTTCTTCTTGGGTTTGTCACCTGACAGTGAATCAAATCTCTGTGTTATAATTGGTCACAAAAATAGAAAATCAAAGACACCTATAGTAACACTGTAGCCCCTTGTATAATTTGAAAATCCCTTACACTGGTGACACCTAGTGGTATTTTTAAAGAAGACACCATCGGAGACAGCAATGTATGCCACATTTTCGTCACAAATGTTGAGAAATGTTTCTGCAAACAAAAACATGCCTTCAGAACAATTTGAGAGAAGCTGTGATCATTTACACATTCTACACATAAAGCTGTAAGGTTTCACCTGAGAAAGAAAAGACTTTGCGGTTTGTGGTTGATGTGCTGTTTTGTTTTCTCAGGACTGCACTAACCCGAGATACCTTGCTGCAGGTACATCAAATGCAGTGAAGCTTAGCAGATTCTTTGACAAGGTGAGAAGCCCAAAGTAATGTGACGTGCAGTTATTTTCTGTTTCTGTAGAGATTGTCTTTACAATAAATACTTTATGTACTAGTTTGGATTTAGTGAGGGGAGCATAAACCATCAGATTTTTACCATGTAGATGAAAGTAATTTGGCTTCACTTGATCTATGAATAGCAACTGACAGTTGCAGTAATTATTTAATTCACAATAATTTGATGTTAATTGCTTGTTCAAATTATAGTGTTATATTTAGGGAAGTGTATGAACAATATTTTTTGTTGGTGAATTGAATGTCAATGTGAATATTGCAATGTACAACATTCCAAACTTAACAACTATGTGGGCCTAGTTTTAAAGTTTAGCATAGTGACATCTTAATAACCATTTAAGGGTTCTTGTTAATTTCCTGGACTGCTGTGTACGATTGTACCTAATTTGTACAATCAAGTGGGAATCTTTTTTCAAACAATGTGCTTATGTTAGTTTTGTATCAAGTTAGACTCACATCTTAAACAATCTCTTAACAGGTAATAGAGAAGAGATATTTCACAAGAGATCCAAGTCAGGTGAGTACCACATTTCCAGGCTTTATTTCTGTTATGAAAATAAGATCAACAAACCAAAATGTCACAATTATCTAATTTACAAACAAAAGTCAGAATTCACTTGTGACTGATGAGGACTAAAGTGTGATTCTAAGGGAAGCTATTCCTGTAAAACAGCACATTTCTTTCACTTTCTCTTTGCAGATGACGGGTTTCACAGACAGAAAACGGTTCAACTTCAAAAGTTTGCACTATGACTGACGAGCCACAAGCTACAGCCGTGGTCTGGGGTTTGGTCTTAATGTGCATGGGCTTTCACACCACAACCATCACACTCACTACCTGTCCCCCCTCTGTCCACCGGTATTCTATGAAGACTCAAACCTATGCCGTAAAAGATAGAATTTTTAAATGAGTTTTAAGCAAACATTGATATAGTTGACAAAACTTGCACAAGAATTTTGTAAGAAATTGTAAGAAATGAAGCTTATTGGCTCATGTAACATTCCACTATGCTTGCATGATTTTCTTAATCCAGGGAAGAAAGAAATGTAATTTAGTGAAGACATGGGGATACTTGGGATTATTACAATCATCTTGCAGAGTAAAAGCTGTTAGACCCTGAGGCTTGCTGTTGCAAATAAGTGGTCCGCCGGAATCACCCTAAGAAAAAGGCAACAGAAAAACTTGATTTATTTGTCTGTGGAAAGATTACATTTGTTTTTCATGAATAAAAGAAGAGAGTATGTGAAATCTTATATTGTGAGCAGCATTATTGGTGTATTTTGTTGTATGTAATGGTTGGTTGCTCATTTGCTGGTCTGCTTCAAATACTGTTTTATTACCTGGCAAATTCCTCCCTTCTTTTTGTTGAACTTGGTGCATATCATGTGTTCAGTGTTGAAGTATTTTTGCCATATATTTTTGCACTCATGGCTGAATTGAATCTTCTCAGTGGCTTCCTTCAGCACGTTTGAGGCAGGCTTCTGGGCTCCTGTTTTGCCCCAGCCAGCAACGACACAGTTAACATTGGCGGGGATTTTCCCATTTTTCTTAGGTAATCCGATGGCCTTCACATACTTGTTCAGTGTGGCATTGTTTTTTAACTGTGAAAGAGAACAGAGTAGAACTGGATATCAAAGCAATTATATTTACCTCATTTGTTATTTTCCAGTGTATTTCATGAATCAGTTTACCCATCTGTCAGACATGAAAGAGTGTGTGTCTTATGCCATCTTAAATTTAGTTTTTAAGTACAACAATTCATCCCCCACATCTTCACCTGCTTCAGTGCAAATGTGTGAGATCACACATTGCATCTTCAGCTCCACACAATGAAATGAAACTGAAATGATAGCATCAACTACATTGTACAAAATATTGATTTTAGTTTTAAGCTCAGGTTTGACATTGACTTTTACACATTTTTACTTTACCTTAAGTAGCATAATGTCATAATCATATCCAGCGAATTTTGGATGTGGATGGTAATCAGCCACTTGGATCCGTTGCTGACTTTTTTCTGTCTTGCTTGTTACATTATGTGCCCCTAACACCACTGTCATCGGTTGAGGACTGACAAACCAAGGAATAAATAATATAAAAATATTTAGTTATACTTTAAAAACATTGATGAAAAAGTCTAGTATAACTATGCTTGAAATACAAATTACCATAGAAAAAGCAAATACAATTCAGCCTTATACACATATACATACACTATATGTCATATCTTGATATATTATTGATTCAACATTAATCTTTTTTCAAATGATTAAACGCTATTAGAGGTAACTATCAACAAATCCTTTGTAAATGACAAATAATTTTTTATTTAAATAACACATGAGCTGTGAATAATTAATGAGTTCTATGATTTTGAACTGATACAAAATGAACTCACTTCTTGCAGTGTGCCACAGTTAGAACAAAGTCCTCCCGAATAAGTATCCCACCACAGGTGTGTTGTCCCTGAACCTGGAGTGATGCCATGTAGGGTCTGGAATGAGGCTTTGAAACCTTACCACCTACTATGCCACTCTCAGTGGCCCCTTACATGAGGAGAGAAGGTAAATGAATACACAGATGACAAAATACAAAATCCTCTGCATGAGAAAAGAATGAAAAAACAAAAAAGAAAAAGTAACCTAATCTGTAAAAGGCTTGTCAAAAAAATAAAAACTGCTATTATTATAAAATTATTTATGGTCACTTCTTCCAGTTATAATTTTGAAAGGAAATGAAAGGAAATTTTACCATTTATGGAGAACAGCTGAAAGACAAATATAATCCAGACTAGGCACATCATGGTCGTTGTACAGAGGTAAAAGATGAAGAGTCTGGTGGGCTGTGCATCCCCCTTCTACTTTTTGTAGTCAACCCTCCAACTCCCACAACGGAAACTGTGTGGGCAGGTCTCAAAATTATCTTGCTCTCTGCAGCAAATGTGTGAGACCCCATCACAGAACCAGATGAAACTGTCAATATGCCATTTGCATGAATAATAATAATCATCATAATAATTATGAACTGTTTTATACACTATATGTATCATTGTGCTGTTATGTTGGGAATAATGGTATTAATAGCAAAAAAGAACAAAAAAACCCCAAAAAAAACAAAAGGTCAGATTTGTGATTAGAGGTTCAGGTCCTGACTGTTTTCCCATCTACTACATAAAAAGTCCATAGTTTTTACTCTCATGATTGATCAATTTTATTCTCTGTTGAATACATTTACTCTAAAGCAAGGGAGTTAAGGTAAATAAGGTAAAAAAGATAAATGGTCAAATGGAAACTGTGTCAGGGCCACATTAACCACAATGAGAACAAAGGTATTCAACAGTTGAGCACTGAACTACACACACACAAATAATGTTGTAATTTCTATCTGTCCCGTTTTTTGCCTGACAAAATTAATTTGATTGTTTTTCAAAAGACAGACTTGCATCTTAGCATTTTAATTTAGTGATCAAGTATAGTTTTTAAATCCAGGCTGTAAATCCAGACTGCAAACACACTGATTATTTTTAAGCACTATACCCACTCTGATAAGCTAAAGACTCGTCTGCTGGAGGTGTTTGTAGGACTAAGTTGTCCTCAGAGACTGGGGGTAGATTAAAAGTCCATTTAAGCCATTAATATTAATTCTTCATATTTAATGTTTTTTTTAAACCTTCCACAACTAATCAGTAAGCATTTAGTGAAAACAAAATTCTACTGGGGATACTATATGCCTCAAAATACTAGGCCACACACAATGTTTTTTTGATAAACTATCCCAACTTTCAAGTTATCAAACATAAGAACAAAAAACAGCAGAAATGGTTTTATTAGCAAGCTGAGAAGCCTCATACAGTATAGTCTATTATTTCTACTGTCCACAAGATGGAATCATTTTAGTGTGCATAAGATCCACTCAAGAAGTTGATTCATCCAGTCCTCATATGTGCATCTTATCATTGTTTATGAGGACGGCTAAAACTTGCAGTGGTCTGTGTTGAGATCTCTGTTACCAGGTACAAGTGGCATGATGGAAAGTCACTGAGTCAAAAGAAGAAGTTAGTACAACTGACGTGAATTATATAAACTCACTTTTGACCAATTTTACCAATAGTAGTCAGTACTTAGAAAGCATACTAGCAAAGTTAGTAAGAAGTTCCATATTGGTGCTACATTGCCCCTGCAGGCTTGTAACTGAATGCAAGTGATTCCCATGTTTTGCACCCTCAGGAAGAGTTATTTGGCCCTCGCATGCAGTCAAACAGAACAGTACACAACACCTTACAGATGGAGGTGACATTGACAATACAGAGAATCTTAGGGGGCTAGGTCCACAAAGTCCTGGTCTCAGTGGACCAGGAGACAACCATCTGGAGGAGATGGCTGTCTAGTTGGACAGAGTTGGCTGTAGGTTGTATTTGGTTGTAGTTTTATTCTGAGTAAATTAGTTGGAACTCATATTTTGAAGTCAAATGAACAACACTTTCTATGACAGGATTGTTAAATGTAGCTCAGTCAAATGGTAAAAAGGAAAGATTTAGGATATTTAAATGTATAATGAAACAGGTGAGAAATCCAGCTTACATTAACAGCAACTTTTAAAATCACTACTGTCTTTTCAGTGGCCACCTGTGCAGTTTGTACAATGCAAATTCTACACAGAAGTTCAATTCAAATGTATTTATATCGTGCCAAATCCTAACTTACATTACATCAAGGCACATTACAGAGTAAGGCCAACACCTTACACATAAATAGCCTCCTTAAGAACCGAAAGTGTTTGCATTAAACTACTACAACTATGAGGTTACCACCAGCATGACCCCAACCTCTGCAAAGCAGGCAGAGAGGTTAACCAACACAGCAAAAGTTGCAGCTTCTATTGCATGTGCATAACACAGATTAACAGACACTGCTGGGCATGAATTCAGTAGTTAGTAAGAGGAGAGCACTATTCAAACTGAGACTAGTGCATTTCACTTTGGGTTGCACACTATTTTCACCCATTCAGCAATAATCATTTCTGATGTACGATGAAAAACTTACAGACACATTTTTTCATGTGTCTTCATGCAGTCTGACGGTGCATTTAACAGTGAAATTTTTATAGTTTTCTAGCAACCTGGAGTGCAGGTTAAGTTTTACTGAAGGGAATACAAACCAAGTAAGAGCCAAGATGACATAATTTCCTCCTCCCTCACTAAGGCTGAACTTAGGGTAGAAGGTAGAACGGAAGCTACAATACATTTTTTTTTCTTTCATTATAGGAGGTTGAAAAAAGTGAAGAGTGTCTTCAATAACCATTATTCAAGGGCAAGATATCCGACTGTTTGATGATCTACATAGCTTGGGCTGACAGCCAACTCATAGCAGCCTGTGTTAGCTAGCTGTTATGTAGTTGAGCATTTAAATGAAGTTAAAGTTAAGCTATTTGTATCTAAATGGTAAGGTGCAAGTTAAAAGCAGATATGCACAGTGTCTTTGCAACAAGTGAGACACCAACGTTAATGATTTAAGTTCAAAAATGCGATTAGCTTTTCTGAGGATATTGTGCCATGAGCTGTGGAGCTCTAATATGGCTGTGAAAGGGTCTATTGCATTGGCTGAAGTGCTTTGTTACAGGAAAAGAATAATGTATCAGACCATGTGTTGTCCATAAGAAATATAGCAATTACCTATAATATTCCAAGTCCATGACCAAGTAATTAAAAAAATTTATTTGGTTGGAAGTTTGTTTTCCAAATGATGGCTTCAGTCAATCATTGACAGCATCATGCTGTGAATGTATAAGACAATGTAGTGATGGCACTTTGGCTGAGATTTTACAAACACACATATACACACACATATACACACACACATACATTACATCAGTGTGAAATCTCACTGCAGTGTTTTAACCTCCACTATTCACTTCATCACAGAATTTATAAACCCTAATGCATTAAAAACATTAATCGGATTTTCTCTTCGCAGTTCCCCTTCTGCAACACTTGCGGGTGCAGAACAAGCAGCATTTCAGTGTCACCCACAGAACAGTTAGGAGAATTATAACAAAAAAGCAGATGACATCCAGGCTGTGGTACTGAATCCAGTTCAACTCATGTGCAGCCACTCTCAGGTGTGTAGCTCCTTTGTGTCTCATGGTGAACTCGGTCCAGAAAACAGCCAGATCCAGAGGCTCAATGGGACGGTCCAGGTGAATCTGAGACAGCTCCACTATTTTCTCTTTGTAACTGGGGAGGAGTAAAAGTAAAAAGTCAATAGTATGATCACTGGTTTGTGAACTTCACAAAACTTATTAATATATTAGTATTATTTTTAAGGTTTTTATAACTAGGTTTTTAAGCTCACAGGTCTTTTCACATATTTATGCTGATTAGACCTCTGCTCAGGTTGATGCTGGGTGGAGCTGTGCTGGGAGGTCACCAAACTATATGAACTAATCAGAATACTGAAGTTCTAAGCTGCACTCTGAATCTGAGCTGGACGGGACCCACCGGGATTGGGATTGGGTTGATTTCGGACAAAAATTTAGAAATAATGTTTGGGTTTGGGTTGGGCTTTTGATGTTCATTTAAAAGGCGCTCACATGTGTGTTATTAGGGTAAACAGGCAAATTGAGACACAACCAAGACCGTGGTAACAACAAAAGCGTGACAGGGTAACACAAACTCAGGGCTTCAGCTTACACAAAGTGTGTCAGACTCAGGTCGGTTTGGACATGAAAAACAGCCTGTTGGGTTAATAAATATGTAGACAGACCTTCTTTAACAAATAATAACTAACATCATTCTATTTTTTTTTTTTCAGTTTTTGTCACATATTAGTGATTTTTCATTTTACCTGCCTTAATAGTAACTTTTTCTTTAATGGTGAATTTTATGATTTCCATAATCAACTGGGGGACTGTTCTCTTTAATGAACATCTAGTTGTCTTACCTCTTATCATGGATGATATTATTTAGTGCAGCCAATATTTTTTCAGTCGTCACATCATATATACTGAGTGTCTCCGCAACACCACGGACCACCATGCGATATACATTGTCTCCCTGGTCCCCGAACAGTGGAAACATCAACATGGGTACAGCATTACAGATACCCTCATAGATACCATGGGTACCTCCATGAGAAATGAAAACTTTAGCCTTGGGATGGGCTGAGAAGTAGAGGAAAAGTTAGATTAGAGTTCAAGAAAAATGCCACAGTTGTAATACAATACAATCACTGTTGTGTTATCTTGAAATTGACATAAAAGCATAGAGTAGCACCCATAACAGTGGGTTAGCATTTGAAGAAAAGTCACCTCTGGAAATGATTTCATTCATTACATTTACTGTTTGGCAATTTAACAGTTTTGAAATAACTCAAACCATTTTTTAACTCTGAATAGTATAATTCATGACATGATAGCAGCACCACAAATCTGGAGAAAACTAAACACACCTAGCAGATCGTTCTGAGGTAGCCACTTCATAAGCCTGACGTTCTTAGGTACATGCTCAGGTGTGACTCCAGTGTACCTCCAGACAACCTGAAACATAGAAAATACCTCTTTGTTTTTAATGTGTGTTGTGTAAACAATTTGTTATAATGATGTAATAAAGCGGCATTGTTTAAAACAAGGCAATGCAGGGGGCAAAGTCCTATGGTTCCAACTGATTAGGGTTTAAGCATATATGCTGAGTGTGAATTTCTCTGTAATCTCATGCGTAACTGTTTGCCGTGCTTAGTTAGAAATTTATATTATATTAATGTTTTATCTGATGGGAATGAATAGTTACCCTTTGAGGAATTTGACGAAAAGCATCAAAGAAGTGTTTAGCCTTCTCCTCAGGCATGTTGGACACCATTGAGCCCAGGGTAAAGACAATAAATCCGTCGTCTCCTGAGCCATCCACAAACTCCGCCAGGTCCTGTAGGGATTTTAGAGAAGACACAAAAATGACCTCAAGAAATTTGCAAGAAAAAAAAAAAAGAAGTTTGTAGAGTGTATGGGTGTGTCTAAAATAACATCTATTGGCCGAAGACCAATGTGCACAAGCTTTTTTTACTGTAAGGTGTTGCCATTATATAACTTTTCTGATCTGCTGTCCTACATTATTTTCAAATTTACAGAACGGAATTCATTTGATCGACATCAGGATAGATCCACCCAATTAAGTTTCCAAATCTTAGAATTTTATTTGTGCTTATATCAACAAATATTTTGCATTTGTAGAGTAATTAGATACCAACTAAGTAGGGCCCCTCTCTCCTTCTTATTTCCTTAGATTACACTGGCCATAGTCCAGACACCAGCTTTCCCTGGCTCAGATTTCACACACTGAACCTCCCGGAAGAGCAGACAAACGCATTCTTTAACAAATGTTATGAGCCAATGGTTGGTAAACCTTGATAAGCACTCAAAATAATCTTTATAATAATTTCAGCACCAGTGTTTTGTTCTTAAGATTTTTCTTGAAACATTTGTATCTCCATATTCCGTTTGAAACTTACTTGTACTTTCATACAAAATAATTACTGCAATATTTTGCAGGTTCCCAAAATAAAGACCATACAAATCTAATGTGATCAGAACAGCTGCTGACTGGTTCAAAACATACTGCAGGCAGATATGAGATACAAGAAAAACCTAGCAACTCAAGTATTTTTTAAGCCACGGACAATGATATTGAACAAGATTTAAGATTTAAACCTTTATCAATTCATTTATTTATTTATTTATTTCTGGCCACATGGGGTCAGATGAAATTTAAAACAAGCTACATGACGCATTTAATGGACATATCGTCACCTTCGGCCAACATTAGCAAACTTTTCTATTCACCAGGCAGACATGCAGCAACATTAGCATTCATTATCAGTAATGGCTGCTGGGTGAATCCAAGTCTGATTTTCACTCTCCTTTTAGCTGTGTTTTTGGTCTCAGTCAACTTCAGTGAAAAATATCTACCTCTTTAGCTGATAGATGCTCCGCTATTGTCATTAATTAGTGGCCAATTCTGACTGTGAGAGAATTTTTTTTTTTGCTGAAAATAGTTACCTGTTGCAACAGGGATGATGAGGTCAGACTTTGCAGGCTGTGCAACCAAAAACAATGAGCCAATAGGGACTGTAACACTTTCTAGAGCTGCTGAATTCGAGGATTATGCTTCGTAAAATGACTATTTATTGGTTTTCAGTGTGGTTTTCATTACATCAAAGATTAAGGGGGTTGCTTCAGCTCAACTCAACACAAAGCATGTATATGTGATATAAGTCGTGCCATAATATGTGCCATAAGTGAAACCAGATGTGAGGCATGCTTATTTACTCTGGCATATATTCTTTACTTACTCACCGCTGGCAGAGGAGCTTTCTTTGCACAGTTGATACCTCCAATAAAAACCATGTTTGGCATGACGGGTCTGGGCCATTCAAAAGTAAAATCATATCTGAGAAGCCAGATAGCACCATGACTAAGAAGATCCTTGTAGGTCATGCTGTCTTCAAAGTACCTGCTGACCAGATCGTCAAAGTGACCATAGATTACTTTGCATAAGTAGGACTCAACAAAAGACATGAGAATGTTTTTTACTCTCTGTGGGAAAGTCATGGTGTCTGTATTATCAGAGAAGAACACAGGGACATAGGAAGGAGGAGAGGGGCACTGGTTAGCCTTCACATCCAGCTGACATGGAAGTCCCCGCAGGAAATAAACAGCTGGAATGGAGAAATCATGAGCCAGGACGGAGCCGCAGGGAAGGAAGGGGTCTGTTAGCACAAGTTCGAAGCCCCCTTTCCTCAGTTGACTCATAAGAGGCTGGTTGTTAAGCAAACTCTCGCAACCTTTCACCTGCATTGAAGTAAAGTTAACCAAACGTTCCACATTGACAAACAAATCTGAAATTCCTGGTGGCTTGAGGAACACTCCATCCTTCAGCTGGTTGAAATTTCCATCCAGTTCAGATTTGGTGTATGGCACTTGGTAGATCTCAGTCTTGTAGCTCTCTGAGCCATGGATTAACAGGCTGGTTTCAGGCACCAGGACCAAGACCTCATGGCCCCTGCGGGTGAGCTCCTTAACCAGTATCTTCATGCTAAGCCAGTGGCTCCCATCCACAGGCATAACCAGCACCTTCCCCCCCTGAACGGGCCCCAGACTGAGGCAGCACATCCAGGCCACCAGCCCCAGTGCAGGAAACCACACCCCGCCGCTCATTGCCTACTCTCTGTTGTGCAAGCTGGCTTGTTGTCAGAGCTAATGCTGCCTGTTTTTAAGAGGTGCCTTAATGTGTGCACGCGTGTGTATGTGTGTGTTTAAGTTCTGCAGGAAGTTCAGGCTGCATTTGCAGGCGGGCGATTATATAACCAGGGAAGTCAGCGAGAGCAGAGATTCCCAGTGGATTTTGTGGTGAAAGTCTAGCATTCAAAGTTTGTCTCCAGTTAATCATTCTCTTTGTCTTTCTCACGCTAGTCTTCCCTGTCATGCCTGGGTGTAATCATTTACACTTCAAACATTTACATTCACATCGTACAGTTCTCACATTTCATAAATACATTATGTTTATCCAACATTGAAAAATGAAACCTGAGGGGTTTAGTGTCTTGTGTGATACCAACAGTAAAAATTAATTCATCATACTTATTTTTGTATGAAAGGCAATTTTACTCACATTAATTTCTGTTTGTATTCTATTCTATTCTTTGTATTCTATCATCTTCAGCAGTGAACTCGGTCGGTAAGATCTGCAAGTCATGGTGGTCATGCATGTTTGCAGCTTGTACTGCCTACTGATCTGTGCAAAGTCTTCTCTGTTTATCTTGGCTTGTCCTTCTCTCTTACGCCTGGAAAAAGGACACATGCGTGCAAAGGGCTGTTGCATGCGCCCTCTTTTTAACCCCCCTCCCCTCTACTCACACGCACATGTATACCTACAACCACTGCAAAGAGACTGGTTGCGTGTGAAGCCAGTTGTAATAGGAAACCGACACCCTCCTCCTTGGAGGGGGATGATAACATCAAACCTACTTTGTAATGTGTGGAATTTCACCCTCTGTTACGACTTGGTTTACCTTAGTAAACCCCTGTTCAGAATAGCTGTTGCACTGGTAGTGAGATTGAGTAAAATAATTGTCCATTCAAATGAGTAAAGAACAAGAAGAATAGAAAGTTATCAGGACAAAAGCAAGTTTAGCTTGGTAGAGCAATAACACAAACAACATCACCAAATTCTCTTATCCTGGAAAGTGCTGCCTTGTTTTCATTTCTACACCATGTCAAAAACTATCTCTAGAATCCATTCAGGTCAGCACACGTTTTTACAAATTTAGTTGAATGACAAACCTTTTCTTGCAAAGAAAAAAAAAACCCAAATAAATAGAGTGTTAGGAGGGTGTGATTGGTGTGGTTTTTCATAAGGACTATATTGCAGAAAGTAGTTCCAGAGACATTGTGCACATTGTGTTCTGTGGATGTGGAATGCCTAGATTAACGATAGCACTGTTGCTAGAACAAAACCAAACAAACCACAAACTAATCCCTTTTATCCCCTTAGGGAGTTAATATTGTTTGATTTGATATTCATTTATTTACTTTTTTGGTTATTTGGGTGAAGTGGCACTGCTGTAAATGAATTTGAGGTGGGAAAAAAATTAAACTTGGTGAATACTGTGAAATCCCCAAAAAAACCAGTAATGCAACACACCAAGTCTATAGGCCTCTACCCAAATATGTAGGTAGATAGAAATTTTGTTTTTCTTTGAATTTATTGCTCACGAAACTCTGAAATTCCTGTCCATGCATTAAAACAGACTTCCACTGAGGCTACTACAATATCTACTGCAACCTATAGGCTTAGTGCAATAAATTGTGTTTTCATTTATTAGCATCTGTTACTTTATTGTTTTATTTATTGAAGTGATTCAATAAGTTCCATGCTTGCAATTATTATTATTGTTGCAATTAAGCAGCAAAAGGATGGAAAGATTTATTTTTTCAGCCCACAATAGATGGGGCAATAACAAACAAAAAAAAAGGTTTTTTAGGCTCATGAATTTTCTCTATCACTTAAAATTGGCTGATTCTGGTTTTTAAATGATAATTAAATGACAGATTCATTCTTCGTCTGAGACAGCCAAACAAGTGGTGTGTTTAATATTGCTCTCCGTCTATTTGACCTTGTGTCTTTTCTCTTCAGATTGAAGCCATGTTCAGTGTTCTGGTCTACCTACCTGGTCAGACTGTTCTGGGAAATATGTACCAACAAAGCAAGGTACATATTTGAAAGGAGCTGAAAGAATGGCAAACAAATGAAATAATGCTTGAGACAAATGAAGCCTTGCACACACCTAAAGGCTGCAATGCAAACAATCATAGCAGACGTTGCAAAGCTGAAAACTGAAGCTGAAGGCTCAAATGAAATGAAATGCTTTTTTGCCCCCAGAGTGCTATATTCTACGGATGGGATTGTCAGTCTGTCATTTGTCAGCCAGTCTGTTGGCCGCTCTACTACTTCGGTTTAGACTGAAAATTTTCAATAATCAATGGATGGATTACCATTACTTTGACTTTCGTGGTCCCCAGAGGATGAATCCTCCTGACTTTTGTGATAGCACCACTTGAAGATTGATACTTGTGGGTCTGAGCAAAATTCATGCATTGTGGTAAAAATTGATATAGATATCAGGTTTTCCTGTGTTCCCTCACTTTGGCTCAGTTGTGTCTCCACAAAGGAACCTCGCAGAGCAGGGAGCTGTTTCAACAATTCTGACATTGAAGAGAAAAGGGGCTGTGCTTGGGGTTGATATGTGGATCTTTATTTGAATACAACATGAAAAACACTACTTCGATAACACTACTTCGATATCGCAGCAGCACCCACACACAGGGGCTTCCTAAAACAGAAGTGTTTTCGTGCAGAAAAATGCCGTTTGACAACTTCTCAGCCACCTGTGTGAGGTGAGGTGTTTACCAATTTGTTCTGCTAACACTCAGAGCAGCAGGGTGCAGGAGGAGTTCTGTTTCCTGCCTCGGTGTCTGTGTGTGTAGGTGAGAATCACTCCTTAAAGCCTATGAGCTTGTCTACGTTGGCCACAAAGCGAAAGCAACACCTCAACCTCAGCAGCTACGTGAATCTATTCAGTCACAGTGCTTCAGAGCACTTCAAAGTAGCTTGAAATTACTCAGAACCCAAAACACAATCATATCATTACATTGTATGGGTTTGGTTTGCACTTGGATGTGGAAACTGTGTAGACAGCTGGTTTGATTAAACTTGCATCATTTAAAATGTGGCTGAAATGCTTCCTGTATAAACTCAGTCTATATATATATATATATATATATATGTATTTATTTACTTTTTTACATATTTTCACTTGTGTGAAGACTGATAGTTTCAATATTTTTGCAACTCTTCATGCCATCATCACAAGACAGAGTGCTCATGTAATAAACATTCTCGGCTTCAAACAACATACGGTGTCATCATGTGTAGCTCCCAGACAGGCTGTCATAAAAATGAAACAAATCTCAATACGAATGAAATGCTAACATGCTTGTAGAAGCTGAGAATCCAGCCAGACAACATGCTGACAACCTGATGAAATGTGCCATTTTGGACAACGCTGTGTGATGTTTGTCAGTTTACAGACAAGTTGATGCCTCGCAGTTATATCTGCCCTGCACAGCTGAAAAAAAGCCCATAATTAATTCTAGATAAATCCTGCAGCTCAAACTGCTTTTAGGGATTTTGTCTATTTACTTGCACCGTTTGTGTGGATTGTGTTCATATTTTGACAATTTCATGACCAAAGTATTTTCATTCACAGTCAATTTTTAATTAAAATGTTTAAACAGTTGGAACATCTGACTTCTTAACTGCTTTGATGAAAAAAAAAAAAAACCCAGTATTTTAATGAAAAACTAATGTAGTTTTGATTTTGCTGCAAAACTATCAAGTGGTTGTACTGTTCAACCAGATGGTGGTGCCAAAGCCATAAAAACTCCCCCCCAGCAGGTATCAGCAATTGTTCTCTGTTGGTTTTCTGTATCATTCATTATCATTTCCTGTGCAGGACTGTGTCTAAATCACTAAAATATTCGAGCACTAAAAACTGAGCCATTCAATCAAAAACAGGGTTGTGACAAGGAAAGAGAAGGGGGGATGTTGTTTCTCCAACAAGCCACTGTAATACTGTAACATAAACAGATGTATATCTCAAATCCTTTCCTTGTTTATCTCAAATTTCAAGCAGCAAGTCCAGTTACTTCTGTTTTACAGTATTGTTGATTATTAGGTGAGAGGAACTATAGAAACAAACCTCTTTTTTCATCTGGGTTGATTAGACAGCAAACAACCAGTGTGTGTATTAATCAGTTATACAATGTTATCATGTAATTGGATCACATCGGTCCTTACAGCAGTGTTTAACTCCTGCTGGCTGAGATCCAGCTCATATGTAAGGTCGCTGGCAGCCTCATATCAGTGTATAGAGTTCAGGACGGTGGGTGTTGCTCTACATGTTGTCAGTTGTAAGCCTGGCTGTGCAAATATATGTTCCTGTGAAATAAAAGACTGTGGGATAGTGTTTGCTGTTTACAGATGGTGCGTTTTCAACATTTGTGCTAGGAAGAAGAATAAGTTGATGAGTCTGATGTGTGCACATAGCAAGCAGTGTGCACATTCTCCCTTTTCTGTCTCCTCCGGCATCACCTCAACTATGTCAGATTAAACGTGGGCGGCTCTCTGATGGGTACAGTTAAGAGCCATTCCACAAAAACACTTTGCCTCGGTGTATTTGTAGTTCTACCATCAACAAGGGCCAATCAAAGCACACACTGTCGTATGAGAGGGTCACTTAATGAAGCAATGTATAACATAACTTTTTGATTATGTATCGTGTGTAAATGTACTTCAGATTTAAATGGTCACAGAAAATTACTAAGTGGGCCTGTGACTCAAATAAACCACATAAAGTGTATGCAGTTAATGAAATAAAATTCATGGCAACTCCCAGCACATGAGACAGGACAGACACTGAAGAAGCTGATCTCTGATCCATTGGGAACGAATCAGAGAACAACTTTCAATTGATTTGGCATCGAACAGACTCCCACATATGGGACAAGATGGCCGAGACTGCAATAAACCACAATCATAACACTTTACTTTAAGTCCTCCTATTTAGCATTAATAGCAGTGCATAAATATGTCGTCTTCTACTATATTGTCATTCATTATCATTTTATAAACTGGCATCCAGTTACTTTTCCCCATAGGAGGAGTTAACAAACACATTGATAAACACTTACAGCTACACTGTAGTGTGTTAATGCTAAACAGTAAAGTGTTGCTTGTGGCAGAGAAAAGAAACTGATACTGGCTCAGAGGTTAACTCAGCCACAGCCTGAGCTCTTCTTTTGTGTTTCATTGTTTCACATTTATACTTGGCCTGTGATGCATCATTGACATACTTCTGTCACACTTAAAGAGAAAGTTCACACTGATTACTCTTTACAGACATTCGGAGCATGATGTAAATAAATCTGTTTAAACTGCAGGATAGCCTATAAACTGAAGCTTTAAGCATCTGGATTGGCAACTAATTAAAACTCAGACAGACAACTCGAGTAACAAATTAAGGATGCCACTTGGCTTTCTGTTTAGGAACATGTCCTGTCTCCCACCGTGGAGCGGGAGACGGATTGTGGAGGCGACCTTTCTCTCTGTATTGGATTATGGAGATGTTATTTATAGACATGTTCCCATTTCCGACCTTAAACATCTGGATGCAGTCTATCACCCCAGCTTTACGATTTATCAGTAACGATCCACATGGCGCCCATCACTGTGCCTTTACCAGAAAGTGGGCTGGCCCTTCTTCTCTATTTAAATATACACTGCGATTGTTGTTTATATAGATACATATTGTATGTATGTTTCATCACTGAAATTTTGTATCTCTGCTACACCAACTGTATCTGCCCTGTCTTCTCTGTATGGTGACACTTTTGACTGTAACCACATGGTGGTGCCAAAGTCACGTGGATCCATCAACAACATGTCTTGTCCACAGTAGAAAATCCTGTTGCCTTTGTACAGCCATAGTCAGCGTTTGACCTTTTAGCTGTCTGCACTGTGTGGTCAAGACTGCTGTGTCAGCCGGTTCTCAGATGAATAAATACTACTCACCACTGTGTTTTTACTTGCGTGATTCAAACAGCCCTGCCAACATGACCGTGTTTGCAAGCTGGAAGTCACTAATGCATAAATTCAAATATTAAAAAGTGTTGCTTCAAAGTTTTTTTTATATATATTGTACAGACTTTTAAGAACATGTCACAAGGTGCAGAGCAGCCGTGGTTACATTTCCCTTCATGAGACTGGACTTGGAGGCTCGCTCATCCATTCATCGCCTTGCAGAAAAAAAAAAACACAGTGAAAACTAGTTGTAGGCTACACGTCGAAACCTTTAAAGGGTTAAACATGTGGACGTGTTGCTGAACAAAACCTGATAACAGTGACATCGAGGCTCTTACTTGTCTTCAAGATGGAGAGAGTAAGACTTCAGAGGTAGATCTTCAGGTCTGACTCTCTGCACGGATGCGCGCCGACCTTGGAGTCTTCAGACGCACAGCGGAGGATTTTGCGCACTGAAGTAGAGCTGAAGAGAGCGCACAGCGAGCGGACAGCTGTCTGACCGGCTGCAGTCCTGTCACCAGGATACAGGCTCACTTGGCTGCACTTTGCCGCGTGCGTCGACATCTTATTAAAAACATTTACTCCGGAGTGAGTAAGGGGAAATAAAGCCCACAGTTTATCTCGGTTTGGTTTTGATTCACAACTTAGAGGAGTGTTGTTTCAACTGAGCCAAGAGTCCCAGCTGCTCAGGGAGAATTCACTCAGCATCCTGAGAGGCGGAGGCGTTTTGAGAGGATTTTAGGACTCTTTGCCGAAAGTGGATTGAACAATGCTCATTCCAGTCTCCTTACTCAACTAAGTGAGGTATTGCCTTTGCAAAACGGTAAGAAAAAGTTCATCATTTTCTCATACGATAAGATTTAAATGTCCCGTCTTTGCGGCCCTTCCAAAATTAACCACGGGGTTTTTTTTTTTATTATGTGATTTAACATCGTGAATCTTTCTCGCAGGTGATCACAGCGATGTTTCAGCGACATGTGCGTCTGCCTCTCCCCAAATCTTCCAGAGAGGGTGTAAGCGCCGCTCATCTTGAATAAGTCGAGAAGTCATTGAAGATGAGTGCTCTGCAAACGCTCCTGTTTCTTTTCCTCCTGCACCAGGTGAGGCTTGAGATGACTGAATGGTAGCTGATAAAACATGGACAAGTGTGCCTAAAGGCGTTCAGGAGGCTTTCATGCAACAGCAGATTTATCAATCACCACATCATAACAAGGGACTAAAAAAAAAAAAAACATTCCTGGCATGTAATTTTAGTTGACGCAGTCATCAGCAGCAAATTTGTTAGTACTCTTGTCTCAGTTTCACAGCAGGGTAAGCATATTGCTTTTAAATGATCTGAACTTGCAGAGTATTCAGTGCAATACTGTTTATCTTAATGGACCTGAATTCTTTCTAAAACACAGCTTTCCTCAGCACCTCCACAATTAGGCTGATGTGTATAATTTCTGGAGCCTTTTTCAAATATTGTAGAAACAAACACAAAATTTTTCATTTCATTTTTCAGAGTAGGTTCTAGCTTTGTCAACAGCCACAATATATATTTTTTTATACAGAATGCAGTTAATTTCCTTAATAGCATCTGAATTATTCTTATTACTCCTATTTGGCTGTTTTGTTTCTTTTCTCAGGATGTTCAACTTTCTCATTCAGATATAGAAAAGAAATGTGTATTTGTACAGTGTACATCATATTTACATTACATTCTTGGTTAATGAGCATTATTATTATTTATAATTGACATTTCTGCAGTATATCTTAATTGAGAACGTGAGTTAATGTGGTTAAATCAATCAATTTACTATACTGGATAAAAAACAGGATTTACTGATGTGGCAGCTTGAAAAGTTTATAGTTTATTTCCACAGTGGTGGTTTTTTAAAATCTTTTACAGACTGGACTTGGTGTCTTGCGCCCGTCACTTATGGCGCAACAAAACCAGCAATATACGCCCTTCTCTATTCAGCTGTAACACAGGCATATATGTAGTAAAGGATCATTGTAATTTATTTTGCTTCCATTCGTGAACCAGATTAACCTCTGTGTTGAACCCTGGCACCTGTGAGGTGTTGGTACCATACAAAAATTGAGGCCAGAGTATAAAAAATTAAATATATAAATGAAATAAAATGAAAATGACAAATGAGAATAATAGGTGAAAATTGCAGCACTCAGGTTTTCAAGGCCTGCGCGCTTCCTCCTTTATAACTTATACAATGTGATGAAATCATAAATCCCTGTGAGTACATGAGAAATTATTTAGGATTGACCAGAGACTGATTGTCGTAAGCTTTTTGGCATAATCTTTCTGCAGTCTAATTCTGTTTTTATTGCGGGAATAAGCTGGCCAAAGAAAGATCATGAGGTTTAGGGAAACATAAAGTTTTCGTTTTTTTTTTGTTTTTTTTTTTCCAGCAGCTGCTCATGTTGTCCTCTAGTTGAAACCAGTGGGGGTTTGATCACGATCATCCTTGCTTTACGGGCTCATGCCGTGATCAGACCTGAAGAGAAAATGCCATGTGACTGAGGAGGTTCCTCACATCTGTGCTGTCCTCAAACAGGGCTTCTTTAAAGATAGCCTTGAACTGTGCAGATGAAGCGGCAAACTGCTGTCTGCTCTGGCTGCTGTTGTAATCAGCCTTGTGCCTATTGGGAGCTCTGCCTCCAGAGAGAGAGAGAGAGAGAGAGAGAGGGACAGGCTGCCTCCCTGGAGAGGCTCTCTTCATATGCCTCAGTGGCTTCCCTCCCAGTAGACCCGCCACTGTCTGACTGGGGACATATTGGCCCTTATCAATATTCCTCCACCTTTCCTGGGGTAAAGAATGCTTAAATACCAGGCTGACGCTCAGTGAAAGCATGAAATATGCGCACCTAAACTCCTTGAGCTGAAACAATCTTTGTTTTTTCTTAGTATGTCTGCTTCATAGGATAGTTTAAGAGGCACTGGAAGGATGCTTAAGGATGACGTGGGACAAAGTTTCAAGGCCAGATTTCAACCGGGGGAATCATTTGGCATCACAGGATCCACCTCAGACCACTGAACCAGCTGGATAGCTTTGATTTCTTGTTTTAATCAGAGCTTCAGTGTCTGGAGCAACTGTCCAAAATAAGAAACCAAATCACAAACACATTTCTCCCTCTTGCGTCTTTATCCACACTCATACAGAAGACACCCGGAGCATGAATCAAATGGTGAAAATGTAACCCCAGCCCCAGCATCTGTGCCATACCCCAGGGACAAATAAGAGGGTCAAAGCCATCCTGGGAGAATCCATTCTTCCTCATGACATCTGCTGCAGTTATCCTCTGTGCAATGACAGCAGAACAATGTAGATGACTTGAGAGCCCTGCTCTCTGCCTGTCCTGCCCTGCCTCAGTTCCACAGATTGCATGCAGTGAAAGTGGGTTTTTCAAACCCTGGTTGGGATTAAGTGTGAGAAGACGCTGACAAAGTCTATTACACCTTTGTATCTTATAGTCGGGGTAAGAGCTCTTTGGCAATATTATGTCATGACAAAACGTTTACGTGGCCCATGCCAACAGGCTCGGTATTAAAAGTATAGCTACCTTCCCTGTTACTGTAAACGCCGTCCGGGGTCGAACTGTGAAAAGGAAGGAGCAAGCATCCTGACAGAAGGGTGTGACGCATTAAAGAGACAAAGCTTAGCTGGCTACGAGTAAGCTGAACGTGTCTCGTCCTCGGGATCCGCTACATGCTTGCATTTCATCTCTGCAACTTTGATGTGCGCTGATTTAAGGGATTACAAGTCATTCCTCAAAGGATGGGGCATTAATTTCAAAAGTTATTTATTTATTTATTAAAATCTAGTTACTTCATAATTTATCTCGATATCCATCAGTGAAAATACTTAGAACAAGAGAGTTTGAATGTGAATTTGAATTGGTTCATTTTTAGCTGCTAATATTGTTGTAAAATTCCGGCAGAGGATTTTTTTTTTCCCGCTTGCGTTTTTTCTGCTGCAGTGCTGGAGTGAGACAGTGAGGCTCTATTCAAAGTCAAAAAGGGCTCTGGCAAGGACAACAGTTTTATCCCTGTCTTAATAACAAAACACAAATTCTACATAAATTCCCTCTCTAAGGGCTCTTTAACCCTTTTCCCCTTCCCCATGCTCAATTAGGTTTGGTTTTATTATTTATTTATTGTGTATTTAAAGGCAACTAACACTGGGAAGTGTAATAAAATGTACAGTGGGGGGATTAGGAGCAGCGCTTTAATCTCACGCTTCTGATAATACTGCATGGGCTGATTGATTAGTTTTTCAGGAAGCTTATGTCAGAAAAACCTAATCCGTCTTTGGATTGTGCCAGCCTTGTAAGGTTTTCCGCGCTGCCACTTTATCATGGCGGCGAATTACAGAGCTGCTGGGCTGTGATAAGGTCCTCGTCTCTTTTACAGACCCCACCGCCCAACCCCCTGCACCCTCCCTTTTCCTCTGGACAATAAAAAAAAATTGTGTTTATATTCTTCACATCCCTGCTCTGCCTGGTCTTCACATCAACCTCGCCCAGGATTTGCCTTGTAAGAAAGAGAGGGGGGAAAAAAAGAGTGGAACTTAAGTCTTCAAAAACCCACCAGAGAAATTGGGTAGGGAGGGAGAAAAATATGAGAGAAAATGTCAGCCAGACCAGTGGAAATTTCTGTGGAAGTGATTAAACATGGATTGACAGAGTGAAGGGGCCTTGTATGCATGTGCTGCCTTCCAGGAATCATTTTGGAGCTTACATGGTGCTGATGTGTATCTGTGCTCGTATTGGGGTCACAATCTTTCGAGCCAGAAGGCTTGACTAGATAATCCCTCATAAACAATACTGTCTGTGGCATTTGAAGTCCTCCGCCTGTGTGTTGTCTCAGACCTCTGAAGGAAAGGTTGTTGTTTCTTCGGGTTAAATCCCTCAATTGTAACTTGCAGCTACTACAGGTGGTGTTGACTGTATTGAGCCCTGGAACCTGTTCCTTTTCTTATCATCGATCATAATTGTGTACATACTGGCAATAAATCCATGGTAAAGGTCCTGAAATGAAGAGAAAGAAGCTCCTAATGATTGATAGGTGTGACACAATTGCCCTTTGCATTGACAATAACCCTAATCTGTCGGCTGGATGGAGCATTAATGATTTAAGTCGAGCAGTTATGAACAGCATGATTACTTTCCCCAAGCTTCTCTTGTGATGTGTACTGTTGAGAATGGAGTGGAGAGCTGAGCAGCTCTCTCAGAAGATGTCGCACCCACTCTGGTGGCTGCGGTGCAGGGAACATTATGTTTAATATGATGTTGAGTCTCCTGATCTTGGTCCACTGCTATGAATTTTTATGGGCGATGTGCAGCCCGAGGCGGTGTTAGATCTAGAGGCTCGGCTACCTTATAGCATTGTCATTACCGCTCTGCAGGGTCAGAAACATCCAGCACTCTCTGATGCACAACCTCGATGTTTAGCAGCTCCTTTACTGTCTGCATTGCTCTTTACTGCTGCGCTGCAACAAAACATAATGTGGACATCAGCTCATATACTGGCAGGTATTTTGTCTAAATTGTGCGTGGATGATAGAATATCGCCTGAGGAATTGTGGTGTCACGTTTTCTTTTATTCAATCAAATATTGCAATAGTTGTCTTGTTGCTGTCACAGCCGTGAGCTCTCCATTTATGTTTGAACTACCAAACTCATAATAAGCTCCGTAATCACACAAAACCACCACTCCAGCAGGCACAGCAGCAAAGTTTCTGCCTTTGAACACTTTCATATTTCCCAAACACTCTGACATATAAAGTTCTTAATTACCACCTGGTTGGTTCTTGGAGAAGGCAATCACACTACATGTCAGAGAGCAGGAGAATGATTGACCTCTTTAATTAAAACAGCCTTGCTTTCCTGTAAAAGGCAAGGTGTGACAGCTTTAGAATAAGTACAATAAATCTCCTTTCTGATTATTCTCAGTTTTGCATTTCCTCCTCTGCCTCCGGGCTTTGAGGCCTCTCTTTTCAGCTTGTCATTTTCAGCTCTAACAAAGCACTGTCAGCTCCGCTCTGTCTTTGTATATTTCTTGTGAAGTACCTGTCTTCAGAGCTACTCAGAGAAAAAG